ACTTTATAATTAAAAAAAAAAAAATCTTACTTCACAAAGCTCTTTGTATTGTGGGTTGTGTGCAAATGTGGCTTAGTAGGCTCAGTGTAATTTCTGTTGCATTGCTACACCTTTTCAGCAGACCTTTTTAAAAGTTGCTTAATGCTGTGGCATTAAACCAGTTCTCCCTGGCCTCAAAACAAGCTTGTGTTTTCCTCTGGGGAAGTAATTCTGAGGAGGAAGGGGAAGAAGAGGAGGATTCAGGGAGACAGGAGTCAGTGGTAGGAAACACCATTGTTAGTGTGCAGAAGGCTGTCCTTAATAACCTTCAGCACGTTGCTGATAATACCAGAAAATCCAGATGATTGATGTTCAGTGGAAACAATTAAACTTCAGTCAGTTGAAAGGAAAACTCACTATTATTGAACAAGCGAAATAAAAATGTGATTTGGAGAAAAATATTTCCATAGATGATGAATTAGGAAGATGTCCGGCTGCATCAGCCTGCCTGTATTAACTTGCCTGGTCATGCGTTTCCTGCTGTGTCCTGCCCTTCCGTGAAGGTATACCCTGGCGAATGGCCTCGATCCAGCTGGACGATTTTTAAGCACAGATCACTCTCTTCAGTTTGCCAGTTCTGGGTATAGCTGCACCCTGTTGAAGGCTGCCCAGCTGGACTTTTTGGTAGAGGTGGTTGCGCTCCTTCGTTTGTTTTTGGAACTGATAAAACTGAGCCGATTACTCAGGTCATGCAGTGTGCCTCCCTGCTCCAATGTGGCAAGAGATGGCCCTGCCTGAACCAGTGCCAATGAAATAAACCTTCTGGTTCCCTCATCACAGTTCTAATATGTTTTGCAAGGATGTAGTGGGAATGGATGCACTAAGTGACATAAGAATGTTGATCAATAGGAGCTTGACAGAAAATGTCTTTCTAAGGAAAATAGGCTAAGGCGGGAAAATGAACAAACGCTTGTTATTTTTGCCACTCAAAATTCATTAAAGTGGTCCAATACCAGCCTCAAAATCACATCAAGCAGCCCAAACTCCAGTGTATGTCTGAAGTGAAGCACAACCCAGAGTTCAGTGAGTAGCTGCTTTGCTTTCATGAGAAAAAAACATTTCACCTCGACAATGTGTCTCCTATAGTCTGCGCTGCCTCTTGGTTTTAAGGACAGAGGGTAACCTGAATTCAGCCTGTTGTACACATCAAAGGTGTGCGCTGCCATGCCCTCAGTTGGGCAGAGCTGAGTAGCTGCTACTCATCCTTCTCCCTGTGCTGTGGAACAGAAATATATCTGTGGGGTCTTGTGGCTTGTGAACGGTTTGATAACCATGGCTCTGAGGCTCAAGAGTGGCTGAGAATTGTGAATAATGATGGCAGGGAAGTGCAGCCTTTTGGCTGTTGCAGATGCTTTTGTCAGTATCGTGCCTTTGCTGATCTTGTTTCTTTTTCTACCACTAATTTTCCCTTGTGCTCCTTTAAGCTGACTTGTTTGGTGGTTTTGTTTGATTAATCCGCTCTGTTTTGCCTTTAACGCCTCACCCTGTGCTGCAGAATGACACAAATAGGAAAAACATTAACAGGAGTAACAGGGCTTCGGTGAATCTGGTGGATGCCCGTGACATTAAACCCCAGCCTGTTGACTCCTGGGTCTAATTTGCATGCATGGTAGGTCCTTTTAATGGTAATTGGTGCTAGTGATTAACTTGTCTCGTGCACGATCTGTATCGCTGTGGAATCTCTTCAAGGCTAACTGCTAACTGGGTCCTTTCAGACAAATGAAAATGCATTTGAAAAAAAAGTGGTGTTTATATTATTCAGTGTATCACCACTGTTTGATTAAAAAAATAACCTGTCAAATAACCAGGCAGAAAATTAATATCGGGAATGATTGGTTGTCAGCTGAAATGTGAAAGATTTCAGCTGTTAGGCCATGGGAATGAATTTGAACAGTGTGTTCCTGCTTCCAACCGTTTTTTTCCCCTCTATGCTCATTACAAGGATTAGCCTGAGACTTAAGGAAAAGCATATCCTTGACTATTTATGGATGTCCCCCGCGGTTCCCATGAATTACACAGCCCTGCCCATCTGCAGGAAAGCTGCTGGCTGTACACAAGTTACTTTGCAAGAAGGGATGATTTTGGTTACGCAATAAACATCGACCCACAGCTCGCACTTCTCAATACCTTTTTTTTTCCTGTCGCTAAAGAAAGGTGTCTTTTTGTTGCTTTCTAGTTCTCTGCCTTTGCCACGTGCCAAGTTCCTCAGTACTGTCACTGGCCTTTCTTCACTCCTGCCACTGCTAATCTGTCTCCTGCTGTCTTGCTAGACAGCCCTCTACCCCGGTTGTACCTTCTGGCACTCCATCAGATGTGCTGCTACGTTTGGAACAGCAGGTTTTGTGCCCCTGGCTATGACTAAAGGAAAATAAGAGTTACAGTTGAGAAGGCACTGGGCAACTTTCCGATCAGAGTCGACAATAGGCCTTTAAAGGCCCAAATTCCAAAACATGGAGCATCATCCACCCCCATAATTCTACGTGGAAATCACATGCATTAGTGGGAGAGAAAATTCCTGGATGTTTTTGGGTGGTGGTGTTGGATTTTTTTTTTTCTACCTCTCCTTCTTTTAAGAGTCTAGCCTAAGCGCTAAGTGTTTACAGATTGTTTCTGTTCCTGGGTTGGAAGCACCTGCCCAGAGCAGTCTTTCAACATTGCCAGGTACCCTTACGTAGCCACGGAGCAGGCCCTGGCACCGTTGGCTTCCCACAGCTGGTCAGCACTGCGTGGTCAGCCTTGTTGGCGTAGCCAAAGGGCAGAGATAAATGTGTGTGCGCAATGTCTGTACGCTTCGCTCCTGCACTCCTCCTCTGAGCAGTGGAGGCTTACAGGTGGGGTACAGACGTTGAAAAATGAAGTCTGTGCTTGTTTCCTCCCAGTCATACCCGTCAAGGAACCCATATATTGGAGTCAGATTGGCATTTCCAGTCACTGTCCTACCACTGAGTGATGGAGATCACCAAGGTCATGTTATTTGCTGGTATTAATCGGTTTTGACTTTATTTTGCAGGGCTAGAGTCCAACCACATTTTTTTTTTAATTGAGGGGGAGAAACAAACATTGAATCGACACAGAGGATCTCATCAGTCACCACTGCCATTCAGATTTGGAGGGCGCTGCATCACTGACCAGGCTGCAGATTCTAGGGGGATGTAGGGAGAAAACACAACTGACTGCCATTGCCAACCCCGGAGCACCATGCCTTACAGCGAGACAATTTGCTTTTTAACTCAATTACATTCCCGCCAGAAATAGCCGCCACCACCTCCCCCTCCCTCCCACTCCTGCAAGAAGAAAGCAAGCAAGAGAAGAGAATCCAAGCTTCCATCTAGCCGGCTGCGTTCTTAGGTGACTCTTACGTGTGGATGGTGCCAAGTATGAGAAGTGAAGGTCATGCGGCATCAAAGACGACAGCTTCACAA